CATCTGTTGGCTAATTAGAAAATGGTTATACCCTAGTTTATCTATCAGCTGGATGGAAAGTGGTTCTGCCAAAGTCCATCTGTTGGCCACTTAGAAAATGGTTATACAATAGTTTATCTATATCAGCTGGATGGAGAGTGGTTCGGCCATACTTTATCTATTAGCTAGGAGAGTGGTGCTTACTTAGCTTAGTAATGCATTGATGTGTGACAATTTATGGGCTTTCTAAACTCGCAAAGTCATCTCCGATATAGGCTCATCATTCCACAGTGGCGGATCCAGCAAATTGTATTGGGGGGGGGGGGGTCCTAGCTTCGCTTAAAATATACGGAGCGTAAATCGCGGAGAAGCTAGCCGTAATCCAGATTATATGAATCGTCATGCGTTTGGGAGGGGCCATGGCCCCCCTGCCCCCCTTTGGATTCGCCACTGTCATTCCATATGCTTTGGTTGGAGGGTTTACTATTTTGCATGATGCTTAATCTGTGAAACCTGTATATATGTACCTTAGTAGACTGATGGCTTTCTGTCTTTAATTTCCAGAGGCTGGCATGTGACTCTAAATATCTTACCATACAGCTATGTAGAAGAGGTAAATATTATGATGTTGTGTTCATTGGTAGTATCTATTATTATTATGCATACTAATATTACTCATAATATTAGAAAATCTAATCAATACTAATTTTAAAGAAAAAATTGTAGAACAAAACATTATAATCATTTGCTTTAGTTTTTATCTCCAACGTTTTAGACAGATTTTTGCACATTTCTATGTATTTATTTACAATCTAATAGACAATTATTGAGTAAACAAAATTTAATTACTATTTGGCTTCAAGTCCCAATCAAAATATGAAACTATGCAGGTCAGGTGAAGTCCATGTTGCATTCGAGGGATAATGATATGCGAATTACCTAGTTAATAACACAGAAAGTACATAGAACTACTTTGTGATAGATTACTAAGTTGAGACTGACATTCAACGGTGTAATGACTGCTCTGGTACTATTGTTGTCGACATATTGTAATCTGTCCATTATTTTCAGGACAATGATAGTGATAAGGCACTTGGCATGTCAGATAAATTCCAATTGGTTTTGCAAGTTGCAAGAAAAGTGCAAAATATACTTGGACAAATTGCAGATGGTTTGGAGAAAGTTAGAAAGTAAGTTAATCTTTTAAACATTTACCACAGAGCTTGTTTTATGTACATAGTAGTAAATGATTTGCTCCCTGGGTACCTCATACCAGTAGTTTCTATGTCAACAACTTGTCAATAAAATAACTGTGCATTCCATAATATAACTGTCTAAAAACTTTTCGAGGAGATGCTGCATTGAATTGCAATGTGCCACCAATTCTGTTTTAAAGCATTATATCAGAAAAACACCAGAACCATTCACAGGCATGCTTTGATCAATCACATTCAAACTTAACACAAAGACTGTAAAGTATAAGCATATTGATTTGATTACATTTGACTGGCAGCCATTTCTCGAATTTGTTAACTTCTGATACTTAATCATGCCCAGAACTGTCTCTTGGTGAACATGGCTTTGTATTAGCATCATTTATAAACAGGTTATGTCACATTGTTTTTAAGATCCAAACAAATATAGCCAGCTGGTGGTCATATTGTTCGTATTCACATCCACGCGAATATTGAGCTTAAAGTTTGAAGACAAGTAATATACATGTAGATGATACCATAGATTGCGTTATTTAATAATTTGCTCTAATTGTTTTTAATCTAAACTTGTTAATCCCTGTCTACAAATATGTCTGAACTGATTCTGGACCTGTTTCTCCGAATTAAAAGTTGATTTCACTCAAACTTCCCTGGGTTACACATGCAATATCCTTTTTATCATCGCCAGTAACATCTATACTTCTCTGGATTGTAAGATATTGTACAAACTTGGAATTTGGTCACACACAAAATTGTTTACCAATTGAACCAAATATTTAAAGCTAAGACTCGATCATTACATCACTGTATAGCTGTAATTGC